TGCCAAACATACCAAACACACCAAAACTCCAAGAAAAGAAAGAATCATCAAGCCCTGGATCACCCCCGGGCTTATGAGGTGTATTAAAAATCGTGACAAGTTGCATTCAAAATCAAAAAAAGCACCAGATAACATTATCCAAAAAATCACCTATACGCGTTATCGAAATTTTTGCAATGCGTTACTTCGAAAACTAAAAATTGCCTACGAAAAAAGGGAACTTGAAAAGTCAAAAAATAACCCCAGAGCTCTTTGGAACACAATTAAAGAAATAACCAACACGCGTAAAGTTAAAACTAGTCCTGCAGATTTATTAAAATTGTGTGATAGTCCTAAATCGTCCCTAAATGAGGTCAACCACTTTTTTAGTAAGATAGGAAAAAATTTGGCGGGTAGAATATCGCCCTTTAGTGATACTCCTGCAACGTCATCATACAATCAATTTTCCCCCCCAAACTCTCTTGTGGTGCTGGAAGTAGATGAAACCGAAGTAGAGTCCCTCATCCTTCAACTACGCAATGACTGCGCAATTGGATGGGATGGTATATCCCCAATACTATTGAAAGCATGCCGCGAGACTTTGACAAAGCCTTTAACTTTCATCTTTAACAGCTGCTTACGAAAGGGTATTTTCCCAGATGCCCTGAAAAAAGCAATAATCCATCCTATTTACAAGGGGGGGAACAGAAGCTGTGTCAACAATTACAGGCCAATTTCGGTTTTGACAGCGCTCTCAAAGGTTCTGGAAAGGATTCTCAATAACTGCCTTAAGAAATTCCTCGAGAAGTATAAGATTATAGCAGAAAATCAATATGGATTTCGTGCCGGAGTTTCAACCGAGGACGCTGTGCTAGATCTGACGCAGTTTGTTGCTAGAAATCTTGACAGTAAAAATAAGTGTCTTGGAATTTTTCTAGACCTTTCCAAAGCATTTGACACAGTTTCTGTTCCCTTGCTTCTTTCTAAATTGGAACGGATAGGCATACGAGGAAAATCTTTTGAAATCTTTAAAGATTATCTTAACAACCGCACACAGAGAGTTAAAATTGATGGTGATTATAGTGACGAGGAATCAATAGGCTACGGTGTACCTCAGGGAAGCATCTTAGGCCCCACGCTGTTCCAAATCTATGTAAACGATTTGTGTAAAATAAACCTCCCTAACACCAAAATCTACGCCTACGCTGATGACACCGCGATTATAGTATATGGGAAAACGTGGGAAAATGTTAAGAGTAATGCAGAAGCAGCACTAATGGAAGTATTGAAATGGCTCAACGTAAATCTACTTACTCTTAACTTTGACAAAACTGCCTATGTCCCATTCTCCATACGCCAAAATTCCGCTCCAGACCGTACCTTCACCATAATGGCGCACACATGTCCACAATTATCATCAGCTTCGTGTGTATGCACAGCGTTAACAAGATCCGAGAGCGTACGGTATTTGGGTGTACAAATAGACGCAAGATTGCGATGGGATAAACAAATCGATGCCCTCACCACTAGAACTATAAGACTCATACAAATCTTTAAGTCCCTTCGGAAGTCAGCTGATCTTGATACACTCAAAATGGTCTTCTATGCACTATGTCAAACTGTAGTCGGGTACTGCATCACCGTGTGGGGTGGTGCCTTTAAAACGAAATTTCTCAGAGTAGAAAGAGCACAGAGAGCCATACTAAAAGTGATGCTACGGAAACCTTACCGCTGTCCTACAACACAGCTGTACTCAGATTCTAAAGTATTAACAGTCCGTCAGCTATACGTGCTACGGTCTGTTCTTAGAAGACATGCTAGCGTCCCTCGATCGGATCCAAACAAACGAACCAACCTTCCCGCAAGTACTCAGCACAAAACCACCTTTGCTAAACACCAATTCTACACCTTAAGTACATATATGTACAAAAATTTACAAAAGAAAATCAACATAGTTGACCTAAATAAATTTAATCTCAAGTCAAAAGTGACGGAATGGCTATTACAACAGGACTATTCACAAACAGAATCCTTACTCACATACATAACTTAATCGCTTAATATACAAATATAAATGCACGCGCACACACACATACACACACACACACACACACACACACACACACATACACGTATTGCATGGTACCTCCTATATCTAGGCTATTCTATATTTAATTTTATTTAGTATAAAGCATAAAGCACATGGTAGATCGACACAGTCCATTATTGAAGTAATCATAATTAGTCAAACACTGTCTCTTAAGATACAGGTTACCCTAGTTTAAGAGGCAGGGTTCATCAATATTGTGTACAGATTTTCTGCAACTTATTTATTGTAATTCTGATACTACCAATCAGGGCAAACTTTTGTACTACTCAGTAATATATTTTCATTAATTTTTAGTTCTTAAGTTTTAATCTGTATTATTTTTAGAAATAAATACATTATTATTATTATTATTATTATTTATTAAACAAACACTAAAGCCCAAGTGAACACCGTCTTTCACACACATATTGTTCTTCAATTGTGTCTTGATTTAGAATTGAAAGGTAAAGCTATAGAGACGGGTTAATATAACATTGGAATGTTTTTGTAGTGTAAAGTTTATATACTTTCCGCAATCAAGAATTTTATGCTTATTAGTCTCGCTTGTATGAAATTGATGTACTAAATAGTTAATGAAATTACCTTTTCATCAAGGATTATTTCTCATTTAATGAAGTTTCAATTAGTTTCATGTTTTATGTATATTATGTTCATAACAACATAGAATATGCCAAGGGTGTCACATACACTATCAGTGTAATATGTATCCTACATGCTATTCCAGAGTATAATCTATTTCCAAATTTAATTCTGTGATCCATTCAGCAGTGTTTATTTTTTAAGTCATTTTTACAAACTTTCACATTTATAAAACTATAAATATATTTTAAAATTATATATTTAATTTTAATTTACTATATATTGGATAGCTGACATGCATAACTAGGACAATGACTGTGCAGTCTCCGGACTAAAATATTTGCATATTATATGCGGATAAAAGTCATAAAAGGCAGTCTTTCCAAGGTTTTTGACAAAATTTACATACCTTTTATGAATAAAGCGTAAAAAAGTCATATGCTGTGTTAATAACCATAACAATAGATATAAATTAGGTTAATTGCAGACACATTAATCTATATTTGAAATATAGATTAATGTGTCTATGATATGTATGTATATGACTGTTTGGTCTATTTTGGAACTAAAATTTATGGCCACTTCCATGAATGTTGATTGGTTTTGGGTAAAATTGATGTTTTCTGACAAGTCACTCATGGTTCACTTGTTTACTAGTTACCATTTTATCATCTTAATCTCTATTCTTCTTATTCCAGGTTTTAGATCTGTACTCTCCCCAGCCGCAGTCATCAGGCGGCGACTCCCCGCCCGCCCCGTCCCCCGCCAAGCAGCCAAAAAACGAGAAGAAGCCCCCCTCCATTACACCGCCCACTTCCGCATCACCAGTCGCCGTTGTCGTTTCTAAACCAATACTTACTCCGATGAAGAATGGCGCAGACATTAAAGTGGACCCTCCGAAGATGGAGCCCATACGGTATACGTATCCAGCGTATCCAGGGATGCCGGCGGGGTACCCCGCGGTGTATACAGCGCCACCGCCATCCATTCCGCCGCCGCCGAGGCTGCCGTTGACTGGGCCGCCGCCGCCATCGCTAGTGTACGCGGAGCCCCCGCCCGCGCCGCCACCTCGCTTCCCCCCGGTGAACGTTCCTCCCCCGAACTACTTCCCCCCGCTACCAGGGCGCGGGCCCCCGCCGCCCGGTCCTCCGCCGCGGCCCTACTATCCGCCGCCGTGATCCTAATATAAGCAATAGGTTATTGTATAATTTTTTACTGAAATATAATTTTAGAATATAATTTTGTGTTTTATTTAATAGGTGCATGATGATACTATATGAAATGAAAAGACAATCAACGTTTCTTAGTATTTTTTTATTGTCAGTTTCTCACTAAGTTATGAATAATTCTTCCGTCTGAACATTACGGCACTCATGCCAGATAGAAACCTTTCACAATGTATAAAAATATCAATACTGGAATATTTTAGAAGTAACTGCAATATTAAATATGCATCTGTATAACACTGTATTTTAGTAAGTTAAATAATTTCATTATGTCTGTACTGGGTCCCAATGTAAATATGTAATTACAATTAAAAGTTTGGCACACAAAGTATTTTAAATCAAATCCACACATTTCTTACTTCTTAAATGGATATTCTCATTAAAGTCTGTTAGCGACAAGTCAATAAAGGTTAAATTATTAACGGTAATAAACAAAATTTTAAAGGCCGTAAAATGTATGTACAAATCAATGTTGGGTCTACCAAGATTATTTTTAGTCATAAATACATCACAAAAAGAACACAATAACTCTGTAAAAACATTAGTGACTATAAAATGTAAAACCTTATTTGATAATAATTTGTGCATAGAAACATAAGTCCAAGCTTATATACAAACTAACAATAATATGGAGTTGCCGACGGACTAGACAAGTACATAACTACGAATACATACAGTATGAACACATTGCATGCACTAATCTGCACTGGGTAGGCGGGGCTCGACAGTGACAGTATTATATCTGCTACACATTGAAATATACATAAAAATCCTAAACATATAAAACTGAGCCACAATTTCTTCATGATTTTGATACAAAATTCAAAAAATCAAATCATTCCTTGGTAAAAATAACACCATATATCTAATTCCACTGTCGATCCCTACCGGATTGATTTGTATAATAAATTTCAACAACTTTATAGGCGTAATACTTGAATAACATAGTGTGTGAGTGACAATGTCTACTAACGGTAAAACGGGGTGAATAGAATTTGAGGGGTAAATAGATACACGAAAGGGGTGAATAGATGTTGGCGAATTTTCCTATTATCTATTCACCCCTCTTCCGTGTCTATTTACCCCTCGAATTCTATTCACCCCGTTTTACGGTACACATTGATTACAAACGGTAAAAACAGCCATCACGAAGAATTTCAACAACATCGAGCAACATTCTGCATCTGTTCTTCATTGCAAAATATTGTAACATAAAACACATTTCTACTTCACTGGTCACTCAAAACTGACATATACAGGGATTTTGATATTTTAGAAAATTTTATTTGTTTCAGCAAACAGCTTCACTAAGAAGACTGACCGACAGACTGACACTTTTTATCTTGAAGCTTTGTCTTTCAAGTGTGTAAGGTTCTAATTGAAAAAAATATTTTGACTTTACTGAAAATTTTACAATACAGTATTTTAAATCGTTTTCCGTGCTAAAATTTACATAATATTATCCAAGTTATCAATACTATAACAACTTGTTACACATGGTACAGAAACCAATATTTTGCAAGAAGAACAACATAACATATGTATAAGTATAGCGAATGTTGAAATCCTTCAAATAACAACTTACATAATCCTAGAAGGCACGCGATAGAAACATCAGATCATCAATAATCTCTGACTAAGGCACGTCAATACAATTCACAAGTAACTCATTGCGTGGGGCAGAACAACCGGCGGGGAATTATACAAAAATAGTACAAGTTAAACTATCCACGAGTATTCTTGTGTATGATTTTTGAGCGGCAGTAATATTGACTTTAAATACAAACGGTAAGAAACACCAGCCATCCTGCCCCACTGTTACATAATAATACTTTCATTGATTTATATATAAATTCATTTAAACACATCCGCAAAGGGGATATCATAATAAATCCATTCAACAATCACAAAAAACTCTAAGTTCATAAAAATCACTCTCTATACAAACATCATTTATTATAAAACATTAAATAAATACACAATATACAAAATCACTAGATGAAGGTGGAACATTTTGTCATCTCAGTCATCAATCGTAAAAATCTCAAAAGTAGTAGATCTATGATCCAGTCGATCGATATTATATCTTACATCTACAAGTGTAAAGTAGATATTACAACTTGGTCTAATACAATATTGTTTCAATTCAACCTTAGGGCCAAATTATGGTATAATTTGCGTAAGGCATGCTCTGATCACGGGCGAGTTGAGCAACGTATCGAGTATCGATTGTCCAACAATTATAATATCGATTAAATTGACTCGATAATACATTATGTTAGGTTTAGAACTTATATAAATATTAGTCAATCTCTTGTGATTACCAGAAGTCACTTTAATATATTAATCTGTCCATAGGGCAGTGTTTGTAAAACATAGCACTATCGTCGCGTTAGTTTTGTTACAAGTATCGATTCGTTTTTCGTTATTTTCTTTATGTGTGTCTGTTTATAGATATAATTGCTTCGTATATAGTTAGCCTATATGAGCCGCGACTGCTTGAGGTAGTGCAGCAGGAGTTGGTGCAGGAACTTGTACTGCTGCACGTTCTGTATGAGGTTGGCGCGTTGTTGGTGCAACATGCTTATTGTGCGCGGGATGTCCAGCTCCTGGAATATTCATGGGATAATGTTTAAGTTGGGAAGTAACTTGGTACAGTAGATAATGTGATTAAAAAGGTTTCATTTGCGTCGCCGATCGCTTACTATCGGATCTGTCAGAATGTTCGTTTGCTGTCTTAAAAAAAAATTGATTTACGTTGTAGTAGTCACTTGCAAACGTCGTGGTGGCCCGAAGGTTAAGATGAGAGAAGAGTTCTTTTCATGCATAGCAGGTGGGTTCTGAATTTGGTAAGTACTAATGTTAGTTTTTCCGAATCATATGTATTTTCCAAGTTTATTATGACACCACAGACATACAGTGAATAAAAACATCATGAGGAAATATTTAAGGTTCTAATTCGCCAATCCGCTGTGAACAAGAGAGTTGATTTATGCCTATGCTTAGCTGTAGGCCCTTGTAGGCAAATAATTTTGTATGCGATCATCACTTACATGTTAGATTTTCCTTGGAAGTGTAACCTGTATGACGATGTCAGGTAAGAGTGAGTGTAAGGAATACAGACCTGGTTGTTATCGAGTATGTCGTGCAGTAGGTCTGCAGCGAGCGCAGTCCCGCTGCGCCCGGCGCCCTGCTCGCAGCAGAACAGCAGCGCGGCGCCGGCGCCCCCCCCGCCGCCCCCCAGCACGCCGCCCACGCCGCGCCCCGCGCCCGCCTCCGCCTCGCATGCCAGCCGCAAGCTGTTCACTTCCGACAGGAACGCTGTGGACAAACATATCTTCAGATAACATACATTTGGATGACGAAACAAAGTTTTTTCTGTAAATCGACCATAAAATAGTAGTTTTCCTCGTCAAAATGATTTATAAGATGAAACCGGCATTTCTTAACTGATCACTCTGTGAAAAAACGCAGAAATAAAAGTTTAAAAGTAGCATGCTTATTTTGTTTTGATAAGTATGGGAAAGCTACGCTTTGACACAAATGATTCGGCTCGACTCGTCAGCTCGCCCCTGCTTCGCACGGGTCTCATCATCTCGCTTACGATGAAAGTCCCTATTACCCAACTCTGCCTACTACTTTTTTTTTCACAGGAACCTTCTCCTGACTATATACACATAACAAATAAAGAATCAGTAGAATTGATCTAGGCGTTATTGAGTTATGCGCTTATTAACATATTTTGCGATTTATTTTTATACAGGGTGTAAGGGACAGCCTTCCGCAAACTGATAGGGTGGATTCAGTTTCAGTATATCGTCTTAAGTTGACCGGTACATGAAATTATTTCAGGAACGTTATGGGAATCCAATTAAACCGATTTGTTTCATTACCTTACACGCAATGTATCGATACCACCGCAAACGCACGCAGCGAACGGCAGCGCTTTTAGTATTATTACTTTACACTATGGGCAGCGCCGCGACCTTACGTTCAGACAAACGGTCGCGCTCGCGCCACGTTTTAATAACAATAAATTATTATTTAAAAGATAGCCGCATTACTTACAAAAGACAATGTAAGAATCGCGCTCGCGCCACGTTTTAATAACAATAAATTATTATTTAAAAGATAGCTGCATTACTTACAAAAAAAAATCTAACAATCATAACATGGTAACTGATAAATGATAAAAAAAGAAAAAAAAAAAAAGAAAATCGCTCCGGTTTCCGGCTCTGGAAAGCATTTGTGATGCGGTCTCGCATTTCGTACTCACTTGCACACGCACTCACAAACACTTTTTCTTTTACGTAACCCTACAAAAAGGGGTCCAAATGGGTTAGGTCTGGGGATCGTGCTGGCCACGGTTGCGGTCCAAACCTACCTAAACTACGTTTAAATAGGAAAGCACTGGTAAGTGGTAGCGTCTCGTTACGTTAGCGAACCAATTCCAAAATCCACGTAGGTATTGGTCTTCCGGCGCCTTTTTGTCTGGGAACAATGGGCTGGTTTTCTAGCAAGCATTGATAGTCACCAGTAATTATCCTGGAGTCTGATGGATGGCGACGGTCAGGATACCTACACTACTACAACACATTATCATCTCCCCATAATCACGCGCGCAAAACGTACCTAGGTAGTAATTTCGCACAATTTCTACAACAAAACTTCACTACACTTCACACACCACATAACTAATAAAACTTAACAACACTACTTATAATCGGCGCGAGCGATCCGTGCCGATACACGCTCGCGGTACACAAACAATAACATCGCAGCAAGGCACAAATGGCGACTGCATGTGATGAGACGCACACAAACATAAATCTGTTGTTGCCAATTACAAGAAAATTACAAAATTTCGGGGTAAAAAATAAAAAATTATGCATGGTCGTAATTTATCATTCTGTTATTTTTTGTAGAGAAATGAATTGATTAAATCAATTTAATTCTAATTTCATTGTTTAGTTAATTTAGAATAATAAAAGTGCAGTGTGATAGAAAGCTGTGCTTCCATTCCAGGGAGATTGTGTTTAATTTCTGGCTCGACTATCAATTCATGGCTATTGTGAAGCCATGTAAAAATCTGTAAGTAGTTTCAAAACTAGCCAGTAATCGCTTAAAAAGAACAATCAATTAATAAATTAGGTAGTATTTGTAAATGCTTTAAAATTAAAACTAGACTAATCTTTATTTATTTCTTATTCAATTTATGTGCGCGACAAGATTTTCATTAATTGATTAATGAAAATCTCATCAACGTAATTATGAATGCAAAGGAGTTCTCAAGTTTTAGATAAATTTCGCTAGTTCTAACATTTTCGTTTACTACCTGAGGTAACAAAAGTTAAAAATTGGCAACACTGGTTCAATCGGGCAAAAATTGTGCAAAGAATCGGGGAGACGGGGAGACGCGGAGGCGGGGCGATAGAAAGGGACGCAGCTATTCTGTACGTTGGACGGGATCGTAGGTATTATACCTACGGCGCGCGGCGCGGCGATCGGCGCGATGGGGCGCCGAGCCGATGCGCCGTGACCGCGGTGCGGTGAGTTCAAACGACTCGCGCTAGGTAGAAATTGAACAGCTGATTTCATGCGTAGTTCTTTAGAGAATTCACACAACCATTGCGTATTTTTTTGTTTTAGCTGTGTTATTTACATTAATGTTATTCTTCATACATAGAATGTAATTATACATTGAAATAGAGGTGTAGGAACTGAAAAAACGAAAAAAAAATTGAAAATTTTCCTGAAAGAATTTTCACTGGAATATGATTCAGAGTAAGGAGCTGAATGCACCCTGTTAATTTGTGGAGGGCTGTCCCTTACACCCTGTATATAGTAGTAATGCGTACCGAGGAAGTGCGCGATGGAGTCGGGCGGCACCGGCTGGGCGTGCCAGAGCGCGAAGTGCACGTGCCAGAGGTCGCGCGCGCGCGCCCCGCTGCGCACGCGCACCAGCACCGACGCGCCCCACGACGTGCGCGACGACGTGCCGCACGACACCTGGAACTGGACATACGGAACATTACTTACTCATTCTAAATCACAACATTTACTTCAAGCACACAATTATAAAACACTTTGAACCCCAAACAATAATTTAAAGAAAACTGTCAATCTGTCGATCAATCCTGTAGTAGTTATTTGTTGGTCCCCCTCATGGCTACTCATTTTTACAAAGACAATATTTGCATTAAAAGCAAGTTAACTAAAAACTTTTCATGTTAACTTCATAGCCAACAACTCTACCACACTATAACAGAATTTTTAATTCTAATCTAATCTCTATCCAAAGGTTAGAAATAAAACGAAAAAGACGGAGGAAGAAGGAGAATCCAGAGTGCCCACTAAGACAATCTTAACCGGTAAGGATCAAAGCAAATTCTAAAACATTCACGTTGCAGCAATTTTTGTTACAATTAAACTATTAGCATAATAAACTTGGCTTCGTTAAATTATAGGACCACAATGTCATGTGTTATGTGGCAAAAAAAAATACAATCTATATAACAATAAGCCAAAAGAAGAACAGTGCTTTAACAATAATAATTTGTTAAATATCTACATACCTTCCCGAAGTCTTTAGTGGTGTTGTCGTGAGGTAAGTAGTGGGGGTGTCCGGGGCCGGAGACCCGGGCCATGAGCGGCGCCCCGACCTGCCAGGCGGCCTGCCACACGAGGGCGCAGCCCCCGCCGCACGTACAGCCCGTCACCGTCGTGCTCGTGGCCGGCGCGTTACCCACTTTTGCTATTACGTAAAATCGTTGAGTACTACCTACTGTCATCTGAAAGGAAGACAAGTAAATTCTAGTAAATAACTTATTGCAATGTGATAGTTTTACAAAAAGTTAATAGAAAAATGGTTGTCTAAATTTAGAAATAAGGATGGTTTAACTAGCATATTTTAGATTTAAACACATGTAACAAACTATGGTGCATGGTACATTATTAACTTACAAAGTAGGTAACCAAGAATATTTTAAAGATGTGAGAGAGCCATACTCAGGCTCGACCAGAGGGATACCACGGCTTTACAAAAAACAACTTACCGTTTAAGGTAACCCATCCTTCTCTAACCAAATGTTATTAAATATATTTCAACATTATAATTTTGAAAATAAGAACAAGATATGAGTACTTACAGTGATATGCGAGGCGTTAATATAGCCATGTGGGTTGTTCGGTGTGGGGTGTAACCTGACGCGGTTGTCTTCGTAAGGAAGGTGGTCGGTGCTGAACCCGTTGAGGGCGCCGTGCTGCGGGAGCAGGGCGGTGCGGAAGTCCCCGCCTGTCTCGCGGCCCTTCGGGATCTGCTCGAATGCAAACGATAGCTGCTCGTCCGACATCTTGCGCTCTAGGATTTGAACCTGGAAATGAAGATAACATTTATGATTACATTAATATGAAGGACATGTTGTGGTGGCATGGAGGTTAAAGTGCTCCCTGCTTCTCAAGCATGAGTCTGTAAGTTGAATACCTGGTAAGCACTAATTCATGTTGGAGTAGACGTGTTCTAGACAGAGTGACGATATCTACAGGGTGGCTGGCAGTGGTTGGATGAGAAGAGCTGAACGTCGAGCTCAGTGGCCAACAAATGGGGATCCTATGTCCAGCAGAGAACGAAATCAGGCTTATTATTATTTAGATCCCATTGACACTTTATTTTAATTCTGAGTTTGGAATCATCAATAAGCCTTGAGTTTCCTACTCTATTGAGAAGAGACCTTTTATCAGCAGTGGGATAGTTATTATATAGTCCATTGATGATAAAGATGAAAACTTAATATTAGTTATTATGGATGGCTCAACGGTATTCAGATAAATTGTTACTAAGCGCCATGGAAGAGGTCCATTTGGGAAAAATCATCCCATGAATCCTTTTGCCCTGGGCAGGGCGAAAAAGAGTTTCAGATCCTTACTAATTGACAACCACCCAGTTTCTTCAGCACTGACCCAGATCCAGGTACCTCATTGAGCGTGTACACGTAAACTGACCGGATTACTATTGGTCTCTTAAGTTCAAAAGTGGGCGGACACGGATTGATGATGAGGACTATAGGAAATAATTTTGTTTTGCTGTGAGCTTATCTTTGTACATTAGTATGGAGTTATTTTAAGAAACACGTGTTATTTTTATTGTATCGTGTATCGTGTTACAGTGCGGGTTTTTCTCACTGCTTAGCTTTTGTTTTTTGCGTGTGAAATAAATGTGTTATTTTTATAATATGTATACAATTTTTATAACAATTTCCTTTTATTAAATTTACCAGAGGGCCAACCACCCCGATTCCTAATCTAAACTAAAAATAAACTCGATTGCCACACTCTTCCTTAATAATACTACGAAATGCTAAGATTATTCGATCCAATAACTAGTAAGCATATGTATATTAATATTATAAAGAGGTAAAATTTGTAAGTTTGTATGTAGGGGTAGGAGTAATATTTGGAACCGTTAGTCACATTTCCAAAATCCTTTCACTGAGAGATAGTTACAATATACAATGTTGATTTGCATATTTTAGTTAAGCTATCGCTTTAAACGTACACATAAAAATACATTAGTTTTATAATCGTGTTAAGCCGAGGGCTGAAGCTAGTCACATTGTAAAAAGCGCTAGGCGCTATGTTGGTGGTAACACTAGTGTTGGGTCACCATAGCGCCTAGCACTTTTTCCGTGTATATGATAGGATGTGGTTCGTACGGTAATTTAAAGTCTCAAATTGTAAGGAGAATATGTATATTGCACAAAATCACTACAAAACTTATAATAGTTAGAATCTACGTAAAATAGTAATGGTAATGGTTTTGAGTGCGTGTAGCTCTAATGAGACCCGAACGCGAACTGATCTACGTTTTGGTGGATGAGCGAATGTGCATTATATGTGCAGTCGATGCAATTATGCATTTTCGATTAGTGTTCGATTGAAAATTCGAACATACATACTACTCTGTCAAGAAAGTACCGGGAAAAAGTCAATAATACACAAAATGTTTGTTATTCATCTAAATTTATTTTATCACCTTCAAAGTATGCTCCTTCAGAAACGATACACTTACGCCAACGAATAATCCAATCATCGAAACTTTTTTAAACGCTGTTTCCGGAATTGAGTTCAGTGCTCGCCGCGAATTCTCCTTTAGGTCTTCTAACGATTGAAAACGGGTGCCACGAAGGGGTAATTTGAGTGTGGGAAAAAGAAAGAAGTCGGCTGGAGCCATATCTGGTGAATATGGTGGCTGCTCGATGGTGTTTGTTGAGTGTTTGGACAAAAAATCGTTTACAATGATGGCCTTGTGCGAAGGCGCATTATCGTGATGCAAAATCGAAGAATTTTCTTTGCACATATCTGGACTTTTTCGTCGAATTTGTTCTCTTAAACGCCGCATAACGCTCAAATAATATTCTTTATTTACCGTTTGACCTTCGGGCAAGAATTCTGAGTGCACAACACTGCGATAGTCAAAGAAAACAGTCAACATGACTTTGACTTTTGATCGACTTTGACGTGGTTTTTTCGGTTTTGGTTCAGTTGGAAGGCGCCATTCCGAAGCTTGTTGACTAGTTTGCATGTCAAACTCGTAAACCCACGTCTCGTCACCAGTAACAATGCGTTTCATGAATGTTGGGTCGGTATTGACTCGTTCTAGCATGTCCTCAGCGACTTTCATGCGATTTAGTTTTTGAAGAAAATTCAGGTCTTTTGGGACTAGCCGAGCGGCAACACGTTTTATACCCAAATTATTTGTTAAAATGGTACGGATCGACTCGTGAGATACAGAAAGTTCGGCGGCCATCTCTCTCAAACTTGAATGAGGATTTTCAGTCACTATTTCCTTCACTTTTGCGATGATAACTTCAGTTGCAGACGTTGATGGCCTACCAGAACGAGGCAAATCTTCCATCACATCTCGACCGCTTTTGAACGCTTTGTACCACTCATAAGCACGTGTTTTTGATAAAGTCGATTCACCGTAAGCCTTCTGTAACATTTTGAGTGCCTCCGAACACGATATTTCATTGGCGATGCAAAATTTAAGACAAACTCTTTGTTCGATGTTTTTGTCCATTATGAAATTCGCAATACACACTAGATATTATAAAAATAAAAACAGCACTGTTTTTAATATAAATAACAGATGCAACTCAAATTCCGCGCCAAAATGGAAAACAGTTATGCCAATCTAACAACAACAAAAAAAATTAAAAATCGAATTTGGAACCATAAAAAAAACATTCATTCCCGATACTTTGTTGACTGAATGTATTTTAATACCTACTATCTTACAGTCATATTGGCAAATTACAAACATACATCTGTATAATTTGTAATACGAGTCGAGTATAGTACGGATTACGGATCGTAGCGTTGTGTTAGTGTAGCATGATGATAAACAACGCGTGCGATCAGCGTGATTGCATAATAATTGCATTGACTAGATTTTGGTAATCTATGTATCAACCGAGCATTGTCATAATGTGAATATAAAGTTAAGAAATTTTTGGAAAAAAAATGTTATGTTTGATAGTAAATAGATCTTGTAGAATTTTACGTTGTTTTGTTAATTAAGGATTTAAAAAAAGATTTATAAAAAATATAAAAATGTTTGGTGGAGAAAACTGTTTTGCTGCTTCGAGTCTGTGTGTGATGGTGTATGTGAATTTATAAGTTTGTAAATGTAGCTACAGACACCTACTTGAGAATGTAATATTATCATCTTAGGTTCGATAATTCTTTTTTTTTACAAAGAATATCGCAGTGAAAATGAAGAATCTACAAATGTGTGACACTGTTTTTTAGTTGATAATAATTGATTTTGTGTATTTGATAGTATTGTTATAAGGAGAATACTTATCTTGTAGCCAAAAATAATGTTTTTATTACCGAGTAATCAGAGTAATACATGTTATAAAAGTAGGTAATTATATTGCTAAGCTATAGGTTCAGTGGATATTGCTAAGCCACAATCATATCGTGTTCCCGATAGGTAAATTGTTATCATTAGCCTTTACCAGCTGCATTGTATTGTTACTATCTTTTTAATTATAATAATTGTTGTATTGGTATTTTCCGTAACTAAATGTGTCGTATTCAAAAGGATTTAGGCTCAAACTGGACCTAACTACTTCTTATTTTACAAGAAAGAGGTTAAAATACATTGGTTTTTTTATGAAAGCGTTGTATAAAACATGTAATCAAATAGTAAAAAGAAATATATATCGGTGCACGTATTACGAAAAATAAATGATGTCAGCTTACCATAGTTTCTTTGGTGATGCTGGGTGGCAGGGGCTGGAACTTGGGCAGGCCGGTGGACCAGCGGTGCGTGTGTGGCGGGGGCGCAGGCCTGGCGCGGCCCAGCGTGGCGCTGCGGGCCTCCGCCTTGTTGGTGCGGCCCATGAAGACGCCCCAGCGCCGCCGCTTCTTCTCTTTGCTGCTGGCCTTGCTGGTGTCGGTGTCCATGCTGGAGTTGGTGGTGTCGGGCGTGGAGGAGCTGAGGTCCGTCGCGGACGGGCGCGCGTCGCCGACTACGATGGAGGTGACGTTATCGGGCTTGTGTATCGTGTTGTTGTTGGTGACGCGGTGCGTGGACAGGCTCTGGTAGGGCGTCTCGTCGCCGCCGCGCTCGTCCTGCTGCAGCGACAGGCGCTCCGCGGCCAGCGCCACCTCGTGGCCGGCGCCGGACTCCCGCACGCCCTGGATCATCTGCGCGTTCACGTAGTGGCTGTCCGGGCTGTCCACCTTCACGGCGGCGTACGGGATGTTTATGTTGGGGGGTAAATATTTGTTTATCGTCGGGTGACTGCTGTTCCGTTCGTTTAGCCTTGCGATCTCGTCGGTAGTGGTGAGGCTCTGCGCTCGATCCCTCATTGTAATTTTCCCCTCGTTCTGCCACGGCAGAGGGACGTTTTCATAAATGGGTTCCTGTGTGTCTCCTAGCTTAATTTGTTGTGACTGCGGCAGCACGACGTGCCTCTGGTAGGGCATCCTGTGCATGGGCATGGAGTACATGATGTTCCCTCGCTCGTCGTACACCTTCTGTATGTTGTCGGATATGTGGTGGGGGTCTAGTATGATGTGGGGCTTGGGGTCGAGCACCGAGGCGAGGTTGTTGTAGGTCCCGTGCGTGCCAGGCATTACGTTAGGCCGTCCGTAGTTAATGTGACTAGTATTGATGTAGCCTAAGTACTGCCTGTTGAGCGCGGAGCGCGTGGAGACCAGGTCGGGGCTGGAGCCGGACACGTGCGAGTTGATGTACCCGCGGTGGTAGTTGAGGGCCTGGCTGGCCACCGCCAGGTCGGGCGTGGAGTTGGAGGCGAGCCCGTTGGACGGGTAGGGGGGCGGGGGCTTGTACACGTTCACGAAGTGGAGCTGGTTGAGATCGGTCTGGACGTTGGGGTTGACGGCGAAGGGGTAGTTGGCGCCGATGAAGTTGAGGCCGTAGGGGTAGTCGTCCGGGGCGGGCGGGCGCGGCGTGTGTCGCGCGACGTCGGGGTAGAGGCGCGGGATGTCGGGCTGCGAGCCGTACGCCTTGCCTGCGCCGGCGCCGGCGCCGCGCCCGTACCGCAGCGCCGCCTCCGCGCGCTGCTGCTGGTACTTCTGCTGGATGGCCGTTTCGTAGTCCGGCGCCGGACGGTACGACGGCAGCAACGCTCTACGATAATATGCACATTATATCTTACTTATCTATCGTTGTATAAATAAATTAATGCCACTTTTCGTTGTAATTACTTAAGAACGAGTTCGGATTATATAATAAATGGTTTATATTGACACAAAATCGGTCGAGCGGTTCTTCATATACTACGAAGCGAAGCACTTACGTACCGGTCGATAGTTTATTTCATACTATTACTTTATTATACTAACTGGTAAGTAACACTAGTCAAAAATAATGATAATGCCAAACCCATTCAGGAATGAAAAATGTACCTAAAGTTAATCTAATCAGAACTTTATGCAATTTAATTTCAACAAGTACTGCATTACTCAAATACTTCAAACATTTTTATTATGGGGAAAGGTCGGCAGATGAGCCAACGGATAACCTAATGGTAACTCGGTAACCTCACTCACACGGCGAAACAACAACGCTGTAGTTGTTTCACGCCTGTGAGGCAATGGTATCACTCCGGTCGAGCCGATTCATTTGTGTAGAAGCTTGGTTCTCCCACACTAAGAAAGACACGTTAAAACAACAATGATGACGAACCTATTCTGGGGCAGCGGCGGCGGCTGATGCTGGTGATGGTGCTGGTCTGCGAGCTCGAGGCAGGACGTGGAGTACGCGCGGTGCGCCGCCGACAGCGGGGACAGCCGGGACATGCTGCCCACCTCGCGCGCGTCCAGCTCCTCGCGACTGTCCGACAGACCGTGCTCCTACAGGGATGGTCTCTTTTATTTTAATCAGGATAAAATCAGTGCCGTTACGACTTCGCAAAACAAATTAACACTATAAGAGATCCATTAATATTATTAATGCGAAAGTTTGTAAGTATGGATGGATATTTGTTACACCTTTTGTCAATTAAAATACTAAACGAATCTGAATGCAATTTGCACATTATAGTCCGAAATATCATAAAGCCTACGTTTACTTTTTTACCCTGGTACTGCTGATGATCGACAGTGAGAAATGTTCAATAGCTCGGCATTTGGTCAACGCCTCGCTTGATGGAAAGTCATTAGAAAACTTCGAATGGCACGGTGGCTAAGCAACTGGCTGCTTACAACATATCACGGGTTTGATTCCCGCCACGGAACAAGTCTTTATGTGATGCACAAATTGTTGTTCCTTCTTAAAGAAATTGTGTCATATTCGTGTTGAGGAACAATATATGTATATAGATCAGAGAAAGATTGTTTCATATGATATGAGAGATTTTGCGTCCACGAGATAAGGCTAGTGAGTCATAAGGTCATAGACCTACTATTACTACAATGAACTTAGTTGACACAAAATAATAGACTGACTAAAATGTAATAAATTATCCTATTGGGCAACAGACTAAGCTTTACTAGCACCTTCATTAAACTAGTCGCAAAGCGCCAAATATGGGTTAAGGGTTTCGGATATTTAAGTATTTGGGAGGGATAGGGGGAGAAGGAGGCACTGGGCCTCCAGTAACCTCACTCACACGACGAAACACAACGTTGTGGTTGTTTCACGCCCGTTTTCTGTGAGTCTATGGTATCACTCTGGTCGAGACGCCATTCGTGCCCAGGCTTGGCTCTCCCGCACTTAAAATTTTGGAAGTATATACCTGAATTCTAACGCAATATTTTGATTAAGCTTTAACTTACTTATAAAGAGAATAATTTTAAGATTTCAATCTTCATATTAGTTTAATTAAATATGAACAAAATGTAAGCGCGAGGCACGCATCGTAAGACAAGGAGCGCAATCGAGGCGGATATGTAGAACAACACTGAATAATTCGTTGCCCGCTGTACAATTATAGCGCACAGCTATTATTTTAATTAGTTAATTAATGTCCTGTCATTGTCACTAAGTGGTAAAGATTGGAGTAATCGTGTTGAGCACAAATTAATTTATACGGTTCATTATATGACTTGTAATTAGATTTAATTATTGAGTACACTGTTGAGTGAGGTCATGGTTTTGTTCTACAGGCGGAAATGTTTTTTGTAATATGTGCTTATGTAGTACACAAGTTTATGAATAGCAATCTCTCTGTTACCCCAGTTCTAAAATCCGATGGGACAGCAGACCAACGCGACCGGAGAGAGTTAAGTTTAATTTACTTTTCTAGGAGTGAAACACCACCGAATCTCCCGACTACGGGCTGACTGGTCATTTCAGAAAAAACAAACCGCTGGCAATTTCGGCGCGGAAACCTATATATGCGCCAACCATGCAGTCAGTCAGTATTTTTCTATAATAAAAACAATTAGTGTATAATGCGAGGTATGTAGGCAAGTAATAAATATATCGCGTGGTATGTGCATGCACTGCACTTTCCCGGCGCGTTACAGCTGTTGCAGTTAAATAACTCAATAACTTATAGATTCGCTCGGAAGCGGTCTCGATGGTCGCGGAACGTGCGCACGCGCACGATGCTATCTCCCGATCTATAACGCGCGCTATTCACGGCAATACTGATTGCGATCGCCTTGCTTATTTCCGGTCGTGGGTAAAACAATATTTTTTTTATTTGTAATTGTTTTAATTTTGTTTTTGTGCAAGGAAAATGAGAGTTGATATACAACGAAATGGTGTGGTCAAAAAAAAATTACTTAAAGATGAACGTAATAAATTATAATATGAATGGATTATACAACGATTTGTATTACTTTGTAAGTTTAGCATTTAAATGAATAGTTTTGTATTTGCATATGAATTTATTACAAATTGCTCAATTAGCGAGTACGTGAAACAATTAAATGAAATTGCATATTATTTGCAACAAGTATAATGCTTTGCAAAAATTAAATATATTTTAAAGGGTTGGTTTGTTTATATTTTTAAATGAAATATGGAAACTACTTAGTAAATCATACTCAATATATTTTTTTAAAAAGGAAGAATGCTCATCATTTTTTACCACTTCCCTGCCCGACTGTTTTAATACAACATTAAAACAGTCGGGCAGGGAAATCTATTTTGTCCACAGATAAATTAGGTATAAAGACTATTATTAAAAATTTAATTCCCAGCTACCAATGAATGGGAGTTCTATCTTCGAGTGAATTGACGCGATGATGGAGCGCACTTTCATAGCGCGCATTACTAGTTAATTGATATTTAACGGCGCGCACGTTAAACACCATCCGATGGATTACAAAAAGCACGCAAACACCGCTTAGCATAATGTCTCAAGTTTTTCTTGAAGTAATATAGGAAATTATACGGACACTTTTCTTTCTGAGTATTTATATTGCTGGGTGCATAATGCTTGGGAGGTTTCTTTCTTGTGCTATTTGGAAAATGTTGAGCGATGAAAGCGGCTGTCGTTAAAGTATGTTAACTTAATTAACATGAGAGGAGGTTTACTGAGTTTAACCTATATTGGATGATGAAAAATTTATTTGGAATAATTAATAATATAAGGATGGTAATTAGTAATTACTATAAGTAATCAAGTTCAAATGATTTGTAAATATCGTAAGAAATCGGTATAAACGTAAGAATGTAGAAATAGGACTGGCGGTACGTATATTTAACGAAAATATCTAATCAAATTAAAATAAATCAGCAAGTAGATGGCGAAATTAGGATAAGGTGAGAGCCTTCTACGCAATTCTCATGCATGGGGAGGGGTGTTCGAATCCTGACAATTACTAATTTGTACTGATATAAAGTAAAGGATAACATCGTGAGAAAACCTAGACTACATATGTATATGTATTATTGTAATATCTTGCCAATCCTTAAGCCATCATGGTGGTTAACATTCAATCCTTCGCCGTGTGAGAAGAGGTCTTTGCTCAGCAGTCAGCCCTTAAAGCATGATGGTGTGAAAGGAGCAAAAAAAGTAAGTATCTAGCTTAATTGTACCTGGAACTTAGGCCTGTGCTCATCCCTGGGAGCCTCGCTGAGTGCGCTCTGGTGTTTCATGTAGAAGGTATGTTGCTGGACACAGGACCACCACACGTACTTGCCATCCTCAGGGCTGGCCAGCGTGAAGGAAGCCGAGCCAGTCTGCTTCTGACACTCTATGCTGAACGTGCGCTTGTGGTTTATCACGTTCGTTATGTCCATCCATCTGGGAAAATAGAAATTTGCCAGTTTAATGGAAGTCAATACAGGGCCTGTTTACGGTAATGGTCAAAAGAGGATGAAGCGATCACATAAACATATTATCTGTTCTTTGCCAGAGTAAAATTTCTATTCTTTTTTTTCTCTTTTTATTTTATTTAAAACGTTGCCCTACACGTATTGTCGTGGGTGCGGTTACAAACTTACAATGTCACATACACATCACACCCAGACTCAGAGTGTGAGGATCTCACATGGAGTTGTTCCGTGCGAAAATCAAACCCGCGACACGTTGCGCGGCAGCTAGTTGTTCAGCCATTGCGTAACCGTGCAGTCAATCTACTAAACATTGCCACATTTTAGGGCATACATCATCTGTGGCGACTGACATAGATTGACAACAATATCCAAAAGATGGCGTGACAAGTCCTAGATCGTGCAAGTCAATTTTGCGGTGTAATAAACACGTTTAGCGAATCTCAACGTACAAGAGTTAGGGTAGTAGCTCGCCAGCCTAATCACCTCGCTTGGTCAGAGGATCCTCCATCTTAGGAAACTATCTGTTCCAGCCCTGGATGGGCGAGAGGGTTTGTCAGACTCTTATTGACTAAAAACCAAGCCGTTTTGTGTCCTGATTCGAGCCAGGCTGCGACTTTAAATCAGACCTACAGATGCACCATACGGAATGAAACTAACGCAAGTCAACTGTTATCAAAACTTTATAAAGGTATTATGAGAAATTCATCATTTATTTCCTTACATTTCATTGTGTATGTATCGTTAGTTGTGACTGGTAATGCGATTGTTGTACTCTCCAATTCCTCAGACTTATGAGTAATCATACTAACATTATAAATGCGAAAGTTACGATGTTTGGATGTTTGTTACTCAATCGCGCCAAAACGGCTGGATGGATTTGGTTGAAATTTGACACAGGCATAGGATACACTCCGGAATAGGACATAGGCTACTTTTTATCAACATAACTTGCGGTCGAAGCCGCTGGCGGAAGCTAGTTAGAATTAAACCGCTTTATTAAATCAAGAAGTTGGGACGAAGTTCAATATTGTATTCACATTCAAGTTTATATAGTGTTAAAAGGAATTTAAGAAAAGTACAAGCCAAGCGAAGTACTTAACTCACTAGCTGCCAGGAACCGATTACTTTTCCTGAGGGAAAATCCTAGCTAACCGCTAGCGTGGCCCACATGTTGCCTCCATGGCGTTCAACGTGTTAAATTGTAATTTGTGTGGACTGCATGGAAGCATGGAATTTCATAAAGAGCAACAATTAATTACATATTAATTTACAATATCTTTCCAATTGATTTGGAACATACAACTAGTTATTATTACAAAGCGAAAGACTAATTTCTCTCAATGAAAAAACTACATTCACATAAATAATGTAGGTATAAGGAATAATACAACAAACATAATCTTTCCCTCAACTTAAATCATTTCAAGATCGATAAAAACGAGTTTTTCATTGTGAATCCAACATTAATATGGATATGGCAAATTAATGTTTGCACGCCATCGCGCTGGACTAAGTTTGAAGCTTGAGACACATGGGAAAAAACTATACGAACATGATGTTATTACTCGTTAAAGGAAGTAGCAATGTGACTGTTTCCGAGTTATTTTTTATTAGGCTATAAAACATCCCACTATGATTAAATGGAGCCGAGCAGCGGGTGTAACCGCGAGCAAGTAGCTAGTAATACATATTAGTATAGATGTTATAAAAAGAAGAGCAATCAAATATATGTATTTAGACAAAACTGAAATAAGGTGAAGGAAAACATCGTGAGGACATCTAAACTTGTTATCAACTCTACTATATAGGTTTGAAATCGCCAATTCGCTTGAGTAAGCGTGGCGCCCAAACCTTCTCCGTGTTAGAAGACACTTTTGCTCACCCGTGGCTCAATTATAGGCTGCTGCTGATGATGATGTTGATGATGATACTCCAACAATACAAAATCAACAGCATATGATAGTCCACTGCTGGACTTAGAGTTTCTTCTGCATTTTTAAGTAGATTTGCTATAATATCTAAACCTGGCAGGCTTGTCGGAGATCGTAGTGCAAAAGTTTTTTTTTATTTCAAACTAATAAAATACTTTTTGGCGGTAAAAAGAAGGATCAATAACTCCAATACATACATATTTCAAAAACCAATGGCGAAAATGCAATTGTTGGACTCGGTCCAACACAAATGTGCCGAAACATTTATCACTTTCATTTCATAAATCACTCGTTTCTACTTTAATGTTTCATGAAAGGAAAGTTAATAAAATCGTATTCAATTTGATTTCGAGGGGTACGGACGGGTATGTGTTCCCTCTTTCAGGGGACGCCACGACATCCTCACCTTGCGTCTGACGCAGGTGCTTACCGGACACGGTATCTGTTTAGGATTCAGCGGGAGGGATCGCACTGGTGTTATCAGTGCAAGAGCCACTCGGAGGACACGGCCGGCCCGGCTTAGAGCAGAAGAGGGCACGAGCTGGGTTTTAGTAAATAGTAAGAAATATTGAAACACAATCGTTGTAGTTCAAATTGTCTTTGTCTATTAAGCACGATTGTGTCTTTTAAACTCCTTGTACAATAAGTAAAATATAGAATCTTTATCATTTATATCCGGGCTTTATTTCAAACCACCTACAAAAAGACACTCCTTCTCGTGCCACCAAGGACGTGAGAACCCATTGGATGATTTTCAATAACTTACAGTAGTCAACTAAAATAAATTTCCAAAACTTGGACTATTAAAAAACGACTATAAGTGGTTTTTTGTGATCTATTAGATAAATATCTTCAAAGATTCTTCTTCTTAGGCTTGTAAATTTTGCTCCCTAACATAACGTATGTTAGGGAGCAAAATTTACAAGCCTATCAACATGTGTATCTATTATTTCTTAACTTTGTTCAAACTTGCATTACTGTCCATATTTCTGGAAAGATCGCACGCAAAACCGATTCATTCATTATTCTATTATTATTTCATTTTGTAATGGTAATACACTGAAGGGTGAACAATGAACATAAACTAAAGGTTTACAGGCACAGTGTCAATATTGTTAGTATTACTATACTTGTCATGAGAACAGACGCGGCTTTTCATAGTCAACTATTGTGGCATCTTCTTTGAAGAAAACCGGCGTTAAACAGCCACAGCGTTGTGTTTCGCCGTGTGAGTGAGCTTACCGGAGGCGCAATCGTTCTCCTCCCCTAACCCTAATCCCCAAAAGGTTGGAAACGCACTCGTAACTTCTCTGTTGTTGCGGGTGATCACGGGCGGCGCTGATTGCTTACCATAGTGTGCTCGTTTGCCGTCGCGTCACATAAAAAAGACATATTGCAAATTCATTTGTAAATAAAGGCATGATCACTAATTTCATTTACTGCCATCTTTTTTCGATGACGATAAAACAAAGACCAACTAATAATGCATTTTAATCGTTGCTAGAATCGACAAACTTTAAGGTAAATATTTAACAACAAAAAGACGAATTATCGTAATGGTTTACTGGTTTTAACTTAAGTATTTTGTTTTAATTGCGTAATAAAAAAATAAGGAGACGCAACGTTTTTAATCTAAGTCTTAGTATTCCACGAAGAAGTGTGTACTTAGTTAATTTAATTTCATCATCATCATCATCATCAGCCTATAAGTGCCCACTGCTGAGCAAAGGCCTCTTCTCACGCGGAGAAGGTTTGAGCATTAATCACCACGCTTGCTCAATGCGGGTTGGCGATTTCAAACTTATAATTAGAAATTATAAGTCGAGGTTTCCTCACGATGTTTTCCTTCACCGTATGTCAGTGGTGTCTAAATAATCATAGAAAGTACATATAACTCGGAAAAAGTCACATTGGTACTTGCCAGGTTTCGAACCCGCACCCTCATGCATGAGAAGCGGGCGCCTTAACCTCCGGGCCACCACGACTTTTTAATTATAATTTAATTTACCCGTGCGAAAAACGCCGTCAATTCGCCTTTATTTTCTGAACAGCAAGATTGACTGTTGTAACTCTAGATAAAGAAGTTTAGTTGACCGGATATAAAGAATTATAAGTAACTTGATACGAATCCCTGTAGCTGAACTGTAAAAAGATTAGAAGGTCGCGGTCAGCAATGTTGAAGGGATATTATAATGTTGGTAGCAGTTTGAAATACTTTATTTTAGACGAAGAAAATGAATGATTCAATTATTATGTTATATAAAACTTGAGCAGAAGTAAAATAAGAGGGGTTGATGCGACGTCGATAGCTGCATCATATTCTTCCTTGTACATTATATACTCGGAACAAAGATAAGTTTATTTTAATTAAAGACTAGTTTCCGCCCGCGGTTTCTTCAAAATCCAGTATAATTTATAGCTTATAGCACTCAGGAACATTGTAGCTATCTATCAACGACATCCGACCATCGGTTTTAAAGATTACCCCTTACATATAAATTTTCAAATTCTATCTCTTTATAATATTAGTATAGAAGTATAGATTAAAAAAGGAATTTCTGCGCGACTTAACTTCCGTTTTAGAGCTCCAAAAATTCTTGTACCGTGTCTAGATGAGATAAGTAGGTAGAACTATTGTACCACGTATTTGAATTGGTTACCTGTAGAAGTGAGGTGTCTCGCTGGTCTCCGTGAGCACTCGGATGCCGGTGAGTGAGATGGCGATGGTGACTTCGCTCTGGTTGAGCTGGTCGCGGGCGCTGAACATCTCCTGTCCGTACCCGCGGAGCTGCTGACACGTTGTGATGAAACCTTCTTCTGCTTGTGCCTGTCATCAATAGATATCTTCAGAAAAGTTGGAAATATCGCAAACTATATAGGATCACGAACACCCGAGGAGTTACAAGTGCGTTAGCGGTTTTTGGAGAGGAGAGGGGTGGAATTGAACTACGGCGTCCGGTAAATAACACACAAAGAAACACAAGGACAAGAGTTTTAAAATAAGGTTATAGAGGTTAAAATCTTCTCACATGATTCGATTGTTAAACAATGCGCCATGGAGTTTCTGTCTCATTCTTTTCAAGATTAATCTACACTTCGGAATCTGCAAATAGCTCCAAAGTGCCTGTTTGGGGTAATTAAAATAAATTATTAGTGACGTTGACTTTGAAAGATATTGAGATGGTTTACAAATGAGACAAATATCCTTTATTGGGTAGGTTATCGATTACATACGAGTTCGTATAATTCGCTCTCAATGTGATAACCAATACCATGTATTCAAGGGTACTTGAAGGTAAAATATCCAGGCCAGCCAGGTCGCGGTTCAAGCTCAATAAGGCACCACGCCTTGGCCCAGAGCAGGAGAAGGAATGGGGGGTTTTTAGTCAGTAAGAGTCTGACACTGCCTCCTACCCCACCTTGGGCGGGTGATGTCATTTGATGATTTACCCCTCACAAAAAAGGGTATGCATATGCATACAATACCGCGCCAACGTATCTTGGCTAGTCTGAAGTTAGCCGATTAGCTGCGCAGTACACAATTTTGTTCCTAAAAGATCCATTGCGCAGACAAACGGCTAACTTCAGACTCGCCAAGATACGGCGGCCGTACTGTAAGTACGTATGAACAGAAGAATTTACAGATTTATTAGCCTAGACGTAACTACGATATGTATGGCTGAACAATACATATTTTGTGCGAGGTCGTCAGTCAGCATACGCCGGTATGCACGTTTGTACGTCATGGTAAACGTAAAGCGTGTCCAATTGATTTCATTCAAATTTAGGTATAATAATACTAGTTAGTGGATGCGTATGGAGGCAGGGTTACGTGGCAATTTGGACAGCTCATGGTCATTTCCACCTGCTGCTTTAATCTCGAGGTTAGTTCAGGTAAGGGTACCATAATGTTATCTTGCCGAGCAATTCATTATTATCATAGAAATACTTTCATATTCGAGACTAACTTTCAGTGGCCGAGAAGGTATGTAACATAATGATTCTGGACTAAGTTAGATCTCTACAATAGCTATATTTAAGGATGATTCACGATGCACTGTGCTGAATTAATTTAATATTATACACGAAAACGAGGTTTAAGTTTAAGTACAGTAGCTAATGTTTAAAAAATATCGCTTATAATTGCAGTTCATATTCCACGATTGTTTTAACTAACAATTAACATTGCATGTAGCCTTTTTTGATTAGGTAACATCATTAAATGACTTCTCTTGCCCTGGGAGAAGCGAGGGGGAGAGTAAGACTCTTACTGACTAGCAACAACTGCTCCAGGCCGAAGCTGTAGTACATTTGAATGCTCTTGCATCATCACTATAGGCGGTACAGCGTTCTTGTACAGATATCTATCGTGTTAATGAGACAAGACGATATTTTTAAAGGCGTGTACTTGACGTACTGACAAACATGTCTTATCAAATATACATAACGATTACATGAGAGATAACGGCGAACATTTCCAAATACATTTACTTTCATTAAAATTATTATTGTTACATTAATTTGATGGTTCGTTTTTTGAATGCCGAATGTATTACTTATAACATGGAATTAAATTTTAAATGGTATGTTACTTGAAACAAAGATAATTAAATAAGGTAAAAGCAAAATAGGACAGGTAAAATATGAGTAAGAGAAGTAGGTACCAGAGTCTCCGAGACGATTTTAAGTCACGTGACGAAGTAGAGTAAGAATTTCCGGCGAGACTTTTTCATTCAAACATTTCACAGAAGTACTTACTGTACTGATTAGTATGATACATGGGTCCTGTCACTTGTAATGTAGTTTCATAGTGTAACTACGTGTATTTAAAAAAATAATTTAACAAATTAACCACCTGATGGTAAGCAATCTGTCCGCCGCACCAGACGACTGATTGGTTATGTAGGGATTGCAGATGGATGATTCCCGATATGGACGAATTTGTATGGGCATGGCATTCAGTATTAAGGTCGCGTCAGAAATGTTTGAAAATAAGTTACTCGGTATTTAAATAGGCGGCGTCAGTTAGTAAGGTGTTTACGTGCGAGAATCGAACCCGCGTCACTTTGCGTCGTATCCAGTGCCGAAACAACGGCGCCAAGAGGTGAGGTCACCGGTTTGAACAAGCAATTTTATTATGTATCTGATTTAGAGTAACTAGTGATAGCATTATTTAGAAAAACAGATCTTGTAATTTAACTATTCTATATGCAAATATACAAAGTAAATAGTTTGGATTTAACTATCAGACTTGTTTTATGTGTGGTCATAAATAATTCTTGTATAGATACAGAGCTCTCAATAAAATATCTTAAATTGATTCAACAGTAAAATTCCACAGCCAGATACAGTTATAAATAATGTATTCTCCTCTTGTAGTACATGACAGGGTTGCTAACTATCTTAATTATATTCTAATATAATTCTTTTACTAGAGATTACATGCCAGCTGTATTGTTTACATTGTGATTGTTATCTACAAGCCTCGTTTGTATGACTTGAGTCACGTTAAATTAATTGTATCTGTTAAAATGTGGGAATGTAATACTATTATTATAATTTTGTTGGATACAATACTGTATAAAGACTTCTTCAACACTTAGTTTGCAGTAGGCATTCTATGAAGTAGTGGTTTCTTTAGGACCAAAGTTCAATTGCTGATTTGTGTATTTGTTTTAGTTATTTTCATAATATCTATTGAGGGCACAGGTAGATATTGATTATCTAGTTTTTATCCATTTTAAATCAAATATGAAGTAGGTTGCTATGTGTACTCACACTTATTTGTTAATAGAAGGTGCAGGATTAGAAACAGAAGCCTCATGGCTCAGTGTATAAATCAGATCATCAGTTCACAAACAGTGATTTGTTATAGCAGGTTTCCCACACCAATTACTTCAGATAAGAACTTGGGTGAGAAACAATGTGTGTGGATATATCTAATCTGATTGGAAGCAACATATCTGCTGACACACATAATTATGCACAATATGTGAAAGTTTGCAAAGGTCAAGTCTGTAGTTAGAGAAGAGAATCATGTTTATAAATAACAGTGACTGGACTGTACAGTTATTTATAGCAGACACACATGTTCCAGTTCTCTACTTCATAAATATTTAACAATCTAAACGCTGCCTACTGATTGATGCTTCAGCCACGGTTTGTTTACAAGCCATGTTCACCTACCTGTGACATGTTGTGCAGAGCCATGTGGTGCTGTATGACTGCCTCAGTCAGCCACTCCAACCGTCCAGTCTCTGCCAGGGTACTCCCATCAATGATCTGTCCTCCATCCAGCATTTGCTTTGGGAAGGTGAGCAAGTTCTTGAGGTAATCAACAGTGTGTCTCTCCCGGTCATGGTTACCATACTCAGCTTGCCTGCTGTAGGATGCAAGCACCACAGCTTGCTGGCAGTCACAAATGATCCTGCCCTCTATCAAATCATTCTTCAGCTGCAGGAAGTAGTGGTACCTAGTGACTTCATCAGTGATCAAGCTTGTTCCTGATATAACATAGTACATGACTCGCAGATACAGCTGGTGGGAGGACGCGTACTTCTCTAGTTGGCGTTTGAGCGGGCGCTCGAGCTGTACCCAGCGCGGCTGCTGGCTGCGGTTGACGTAGCGCAGCCCGAAGAGCTCGGGCTGCATGACGGCCTGCCGCTGGCAAACGTTGTCGAGGCACTCCTGCCCCGTGCTGTCCACGGACAGCGTGCAGTCCGCCACCCCGCCATCCAGCAGCTCCACACTTATCACAAACAAGCTCTTCGACGCTACATTGTACTGCCGCGTCTTCTTCAACTTCAACTTGAAAGGCATCTTCCTGAGCTACCCGCCGCCACTTAGCAATAACATCACATAGGAAACAAACGTTACGTTTCGTTTATGGCGAAGGAATGTAGGAAACGATGCATCCGTTACGCGCGCCACATATTTATGACATTTCGTCTTGAATTCGCGACGTAATACAAGTCACTTGAACTAATTTATGTTACGGTAGCGATGACGTAGGTGTATCGGCGAAAAGTAATAAAAATTGTCGAGTAAACACATATGTATTATGAAAATAAGTATTTCACGTTCACAACATTGAAGCCATCGAGAAAGTGACAATTTGTTTGACATTTGGGGTTTAGTGTTGCCACTCTTTAGGAATTGATAGATGTACTAAATTGGTAGACTTTACTGGTCTGGTCAGGGCTTTGTCGCAGGTTTGAATTCAAAACGTTCTGCAGTTTTGATACTGCTTTGATGATAAGCTTATGTATGCTATTTTACAATGGTGTTAGTCTACATTTTACAAGATTTCGCTTTCGTGATGGATCACAAGATTACATAGTGCTACAGGTGCTACTGCACAATTTTCCATTTGATTATTGTTGTATTACTAACGCTGGGTAGTGAGTGATTTATTTATTTAAACAACCGATATACAGGTAGAATTGGCAAATAGATTGCAATGCTACAAATACATTTGTCCACCTCTATCTGCCGACGGTTTATGTTCCCTGATGAGAAATATGGGAAGGAATAAATAAAACTACCGTTTAAAACATTATCTAAAACTGTATAATATATCATAATATTTATAAACGATTTTTATAGTGTTTAACACTGTTATATGAACCCATTACCACAAAACAAGAAATATAACATCTTATGCGGTAGACCTTCCTTCACTTTTCTTCAAATTTAACCATTCAACGGGTTCTTTTAGTACTTTCATAAGCTTCTCTTCGGGAGAATTTGGTTTAGGCTGGTGCATGTATTCCCATTTCTGAAATAAAAAAAAGGTATAACAGATCAGTGTAAAAATGGTTTATTGGTTTATTGTAAGAAAAAATTCTTGTCTAGTGGACAACTGGTTTGCCTTTTTTTACATTGTCACTTAATAATTTTTAATAAGATTCTTATTAGGTACAGGCGAATGGGTACGAGTGGAATTTAAAGTGCATACAGGCAAAAAAACTTACAGCATTTAAAGGTAGAGACATGAGTATGGATTCATATCGCGCTTGAGGAGTGTGGAGACCAAACTTGGTGCCTCTGTCGTACATCAGGTTGAACTCAACATAGCGACCTCTGCGGAGCAACTGCCACTGGCGCTCGAAGTAGCCATAGGCGTCCTCCTTATGTTTCTTCACTGAACAAACAAACATATTATTATCCAGATAGGTGCATCGTTTGAGAACCTTAGTTATAATAACGACTGCAAAATGTACCTCTTTGATTTTTCTATTTGGATCTATATGCAAAAGCAAGGCAATGTGTTATTGAGCTCTACAAGTATCAACATTTTCAGAAACGTTCGCATTAGGGTAACTTTTTATTACATAGGATTCAATAGTGCTAGTGAATGAAAATTTCACGTTAACACTAATAGATATTACGTTGAATAGAATTTATCTAATTAACACTCACCAATAGGTAAGTAACTAGGTATTACTGCTTCAGCGCATGACGTTACAAATTTGAAGGCGGCCTCCTGACTAGGTGCGTCGATGTCATCGAAGAATATACCGCCGATGCCACGACGCTCTCCTCGGTGGGGAATGTAGAAATAGTCGTCGCACCATTTCTTGAACCTATTGGGTTGGAAATTGTGATCTTATTGGTATACGTGCACATTCTGATAGACTGCACGGTTGGTGCGGTGGCTGGGCAACTGGCTGCCGTGCAACGTGTCGCGGGTTCGATTGTTGTTTCGGGTCTGGGTGTCATGTGTATATGTGACATTGTATGTTTGTAAACGCACCCACAACACAGGAGAAAATTCTAAAGTGGGGCTACGTTTTTATAAAAAAGAAAAAGAAAGTGTTGTGAGAATTACTATTTTCTGGCGAAATTATGATTCAACAAGTTAGTGTTGCCATTTATATGTATACGTTTTTTTTACCAAGAGTAACAAAACTTAATCTTCATTTGGTAAACACTACAGATTAATTTTAAAAAATCCTTACGAAGATACTTACTTTTCATAGTACGATTTGTCGTGCTCGTCACACGCTTGCTTCAGTGCTTGATGGAAGTGCACTGCGTCCTCTTCATTCAGGTAGTACGGTGTGAGGTCTGTGCCACCGCCGAACCACCATTGTACTCCTGAAAATGTATAACACAATATAAATACAGTTACTTGGGACCATGACAAAATCAATTGAATTCTTTTAATGTTGATCTCAATTTAACAACAGAAATGAGATAAAATGCAAATGCCAGTTCAAACTGCGTTATTCTTTCCACCTATTTAAATTTATTCAATGGATGATACCATTATTTTGCTCACTAGTTGTTGCTATTTAGGAACGAGTCAGTTTGTCCAATCACTGCAGTTGTCCAAAAATTGGAAATCCGCGCAATGAGGCACCGCAGCATCGGTCTTGAGTAGCAGGAACGGGGATTTTTAGTCTGTAGGAGTCTGACACTCCTCGCGCCGACATGAGCGGGGGAAGTAATTTGAAGATTTTCCGCTCACAAAAAAAGGTAATTTCCTATTAGACAATCAAGTTGAAAGTCTATTAAAGACTTGAATAGCTAGACCTGCTGGCTACAGTAATTACGAATGAAAAGCTCACCATCTTTATCCTGTACTTCGAAGTAGCGGTAGTTGAAGTGTATGGTGGGGACCATGGGGTTGCGCGGATGGATCACGGCGCTCACGCCAGCCGCGAAGAATGGCAGCTCAGAGTTCTGGAGGTTCTTACCTCTAAGAGAACAATATGTAAATTAGAAAAATAGAGCTAGCTAGAATGTGACAAGATGTTTTATCGGGGTTTCTGAATAAAATCAGGTCTTTTTACATAAACTTTTTCATTATGTAGTCAACATTTTGAATCAAATTAATCTAAGCATAATAGCCCCAAACGGTATAACCTGGGTGTCTTCTAGGCCCGAGTGAATTGATTGCTTATGGTTAGGCTTGCTCAATCATGGTCGTCTCATCTTCTCTCACAATTTAATGTTGCCATCTTATGACATCAAATTCCAAACGAATTTCTGATTTTGAAAACCAAGCAATAATGTGAATATGTTTTAAAATCACAAAGATAAGTCTAAAGTTTATAATCAATCAGTTGTATTGCAAAATTATATTGAAAAATTATGTTACAAACTCGACCTTTTGTGACTGCGAGATAAAATTTATCTAAAAACAGCTTCGGAAATTAGAAAAAAAACTACATTCCGAAAAATCGTTCATACTTTTGATAAAATAAAGAGATTCGTCTTCATATTAATAAGTAAAAATTGTGATTTTGAATCTTTTTGTTTGTGTTCTTTTCAATTGTGATGTAACATTTGTGGGAATAATTATTAAGAAAACATTAATATCTGACCTGCTCCTCATTTGTTGCACAGCCGCTGGTGGTAAGGTGCCAGACACAACAGAGATGTTAACTCCTGCCTTCTCGAAGACTCTGCCATCTTGTAATACGCACGAGATCCCGCCACCGCCTTCCTTACGAAGCCATCTGTCCACTTTGAATTTGGCTTCCTGATAATATTTTTTTAAACATAAGTGAAATTGATTGAAGAATATTTTATTTTCATAACATACAAGCCGCTTACCCGCAGTTTTATCCCTTTGCTTGGTTTTCAAAATCAGAAATTGGTTTGGAATTTGATGGCATAAGATGGCAACATTAAATTGTGAGAGTAAAGCCGAAATGTTTGTTTAGGTTGAAGATATTGATGTATTCAGCCATTTAAATGCACTCCCAATCAAGAGTTATTAAGAAATCAAGCAACTAGAAAGATATTATCTATCACATCCCTATATGTAACAAAAATAATTTTAATATTTCCGTACCGGAGACATTAAGAATACATCATTTTCAAAATCATATTCATCTGCAGTTTTTTCATCCTCCCAAGCCTACAAGAAAAGAAGTCACCTTGTTCAAAGATATTACAATGATATATGATATAATATTCTATAACTTTCTTATTATATTGATGTAAAATAATCTTATGAAATGCCAAGCTAAAATAATTGAAAGTGTCAAACTTTCAATTAACTTCCCACATAACAAAAAGAAAGAAGATTCTAATAAGAAAATATACTTAAGATACATTACTTGTCAAACATAGAAGTCTAACTAGAATTGAAATCTAAGTAGAAAACAAAAGTGAGTGAATAATTACAAACCTCATCCTCTTCTTTCTCAAGGGCCTTACAAAATTCAGCCTGTATCCTCATGATGAGTAGTTCCATCTGTGTCTTCATGTCATCACTGTTCTGTTCCAGTTGTTCAATAGGTGTGATGGGCTCAGCCATGTAGTTCTTCAGTTGTATTATCTCCTTCATTTCAACTTTATTTTTCCTATACTGGCTGTATGCTACATACCCTGTGCCCAGTATTGCAGCACAGAATAGTCTGTAACAAAATATAAAACCTATAAGATCATAGTGACATATAAAACCTTTTTGAAGTTTATGTCTGAAAAGAATAATGTACTACACAATACAGGTTTTATTTGCAAGCTTATATTAAGCATTTTAATAGGTACCTACATCAATTTATAATATGAATAGTTTTGTTTTGAGTGCCTTATTCATTCTCTTAAAAAAAAATTTTTTTAATGAATAATGATGATGGTTTATTATTCCAATACCTATCAATATACAACATAGCTATTTTGATAATAAAATTACTCAGCAACTTTTCATTTTTTTTTGAGAATATTATAAGATTTGCCATATTAATCTTAATTCATATAAAGAAATCAATTTGAAGAAAAAGAAAATTGCTTTATAGTTATGAGGACCTACTTTCTAATACTTAGTTTTTCTTGTGCATTGAAAATCACAACTATTATTAAAGATGTATTGTTAATGGCTGTACTATAACAGCAGTGCATTACATATTTTATTAAGGTGCTGGGTACTACTGCCAAGACAGAGCTACAAGTGGTACTGACCCACTTACCTTATCTTTTACTGAAACTGAATTAAATTACTAAAAACCAAGGATTTTTGTTTGCATACTACCCTAAAATATAAGTTTTTACTGAATTGAAAACATAACTTGTATCGTTAAACAAAGTACTTGTATACTGCAATTACTATCTTGAAATTGTTCTCATTATCCACAAGATTGATGATTCAATAACCAATCGATCACGTACGCCATTCACGCGTAAATAAATGCGATTTGCTTATAAAACACAACTCGCTTTAAGATCACAGTACACAGAAATATCATTAAATGCATACAAAGGGCACCATTTAATAATTTGGAAATGAAATACACAAATAAAACAGCGATGTAAACACAATACCTGTACGGTCTATCCCTGATTTTCTTGTAACTCCCAACATAACTTAAAGTTTTTACCGATCTTGTTATCACTTTAAAAGACATTCTGTGTAATTCCGATTTGAAAAATCACTGATATTTAAAGATTAATGTAGAATTTCCAAACAGAATATTAATAAACAATTTCAACTGAATGGTGACTTTCAGCGAGTGAGCATGAGCGAGCCGGTTTGACACTTGACTGATTTGACAGCTGTGACGTTTTACACGTTGTTATCATTAGCGCGCCACCCAGTGGTGGCATGCGGAACTATTTAGTTATCAGCTGTGAAATTTTTCTTCCGCAAGACGCGCCTACATGCGCAATATGTGTTCATCTCTTTCCTGAGCGAGGAAGAGAGCATCGATCGCTCGTGTCGTGCTCTTTCCGACCAGTCCGCGGCAGCCTCGCTGACAGCGTGTCGCCAGTGCGCGTGTGTACACCGTTGTCCGGGCTATCGATCCGTCAGCGGAGCCGCATTGCCGTACATTCCGGAGGCGGTGCCTCGCCTAGTTTTCGTCGATCGTCGGCGTGGCGGGCGCGTGTCGGCGTCGGCGGCGGCCCGGGGCGGCCCTGCGCAGTAGCGACCAAGTGTAGCGCGGGAGCGACCGACCTTCCTTCCGCCAAAACCGGCTCGCTGTCCGCGGCGGACGGCTGTGATGTAGCCGCGGCCGGCGCGAGCGGCCTTCGGACAAAGGACCCGCTACTCGATTATTCGCGATGAAGAAGTTCACGTTCAAGGGGGTGCTCGACGGGTTCCGCAGCTCGGTGCAGGCGGCCCCGCGAGGCACCGAGCAGGAGATCCAGGAGACTTTGCGTCCCGATCACTTCCAAATCAAAAAGGTGAGTGGTTTTATCGCGCGGCGCGGCCCAAGGTCCCACAGATAATGGCGAGGAACGGCACGCGAGCAGCGCGGCCTCCGCGGCCTGCGGGAGAGGGGCGACCACGCTCCAGTGCCGGTACCGTATTTATAACAGCACCTCACCTGAGCGCGCGCAGCCTCTGTTGTGTAAACTGTACGCACGCCGCACGTCCACGACATGACAACTCCAGTGTGCATTGCTGCAAACCAAAACAATCACAACATTTCGCCATTTCGCCGTGGCAATGATAATATGTCTATGACTCAGCTTTGTTGACATTTCTTTAGCCAAGAACGTGTACTATGCGTAATCTGACGTCGTTACAAACTTGTCGTGAATGACCAGGCTGCAATATTTTTTGCAATTGCTTTTATTCGCGACACAATTTTTTTCTGTTGTAGTTATTATTAAATTGAGCTGACCACGGCAGGCGTAAAGTGCGTGGAAGCTCGATGAGGGAATTTTTATATTGGGTAGATAGATGCGTACATGGTGTCTAGGCTGATATTATTTTCGTCAGATTACTGTCAGTGGAGCACCTGTAGGCGGTGAATAGCGATCATAATATTGAACTGATAACAGATTAGATAACTGCTGCATTTAATAATACCCAAGCTCTCTGTCGTGTATTTTTTGTTGGAAAGGCTACATGGAAAAAGCTGTGTTTTAACACGGAGAATTATTAAATGCAATTTCGAGTAATATACATATGTAGTCGCATGTGCTTGTCATCTCAAAGAACAGTTTTTAATACCTATGAGTAAAGAAGGTTAAGGCAGATTGTTTAAGATGCAGACACCTTTTATGAACATCTGTTATAAAAGTCGTCCCTAAGCTTCAAGTATATTTTCTTATAAACCTCCCCGATGATTTCCCTCCCTGCTGAGGGACGGTGACGTTAAAGATTCCGGGTTCAGACCCTGGGTTAAAGAGAGCTTTTTTACTTTGTTGAGTCAATCTACGACTAAATTGTATCTTGATAAATCAGCCTGGCAGTATTTTTCTCATACGTGTGCTTAGCCACCTTTGAGGGAATTAACAAGCGTGATATTTTATTGTATTACGTAAACTTTCTAAAATGAGGAAAGTAAAGCATTTCCATGTCAAGGTCTGCTTTACACGGGCGTATTATCGATGGCGAAAAAATGCAAAGGAACTTATAATAACCGCACCATGACCTAACTTTTTGCAGACGCTTCTATTTCCATTCCAAGATTACTTATTCTGAAAAGTTATGACTAAAGCAACTCCGTCCATCTGTGCCAGCCTCTGAGCACGGCAAATGAGCAAACTCCTAAATAGTAACGGACGTGGCGGTCGTAGCAGAAGATGGAATACAAACATTTATTTACGATCGTCCGCCATTGAACATTTACAATTTGAACAGCGGTATGCTTTTAAAACTTTTCCCTTTCTTTAAACGAATTTCGGAGGGCGCCAATTTTCGTAAGATCCATAAAGAAACAAGTTTTAGTTAGCTAATTCTTGTCCAACTGCGAGTTTTACTTTTAAACTTGAGTCGGTCGACGAACTGCGGCGGTTAAGTCGCCCTTTTATATTTCTCATAATACGTATTACGGGAGCATTGACGGTTTTCCTATTCACAACTGTACTGAAAGAAATAATTAGCCAAATTTATATTTTCCTTACAGAAGTCGTTTGTCGTTTGGACCAAAGAAGATGAATATTCGGTAGCGGCTAGCAATTGTCCTGATAAAGTATGAGATTTTATCATGGATAACACTCTGTACTTGTCCGTAGATACACTTATAAGTTGTATACTTAGTAGGCAAATGTAAGAAAATGTTGGGTGCTGTTGAGTATCGCAGATAAAAGGAAAACAATGTCACTCAGAGCACGTCGCTATTTATTTTCAATACGCTATGATGTAAGCAAACATGAGTTCACAGCTGGATCTGTCCGTCCTTAAAGCCTTAGGGTAACAATGAGTCATGCGTGATACATAATAGGATTTATCGACAAACTATTGATAGGTTTTACCCACTGAACTTACCGATATCGTACTTAATGCGTTTATCTTTCGGATAACATTGATTGCTAGCCACTGTCTTTCAAAGGATTTGGATACGTCATTTCCTTTTCGACAAAAATTGCGCCAATACAAAAAATACTTTTTAAATGTATTTTATGATACTTAATGAATCACACTTACGTAAATGATAGGTTAATTATTATCGTAGAGAGGAAAAAGATCAAAGAATAATATTAAACGTCTATGCTGCATTCTGCATCGGTTTGCCAATATGTAGTAAATTCAGGCGATAACAGTTTTCCGTATATCGCGGTTATCTCCCACCGCTGCATAGCCATAGAGCTGATAAATATTGCCACCCCACATCCTCTCTCAATACAACCTTTTATCTTGTGAACCAAACTACGGAAAAATCAATGATTGATGCTTTATTTTCACTTTACTAACTGCTGAATGGTACCTATTCAATATTTCATTGTACCTCCGAATAATCGATGTTTTTGTCGTTGTTCGCAAAATGGTCATTCATTTTGACAACCACATTTCATGATAAACTAGGTTTAGATATAAACAATATAACAATTATGTGTTTAAGATTTAGCTCACGTTAAACAGGAAAGGATTAATATCCTCATGTTACCGTAATCGTACCATAAACGTATTACCAAGACAATAAAATCGAATGATAGAATGTTAGTAACTTAAGTTCATTTATATTTTTGACATTCTATTGACTTCAAATAAAACGTAAAACAACGCTGTTGATAGTGCGGCGAAACGAATAACCGTTTTCCACAACGTTATTAAATGACAGTGTACGTTATCCGCATAGTGATGTGACGTACCGAGTAGCAGTCATTATATTCTGCTCTCCCAAGATAAGTAATTACAGGGGGAATTGGATCTGTCCATTGTTATCTCGGACTTGTGCTAGTGATTCATTTTATTAAGACAGCTAGACTAGTTACTAACGTGTTTAGCAGTTCATCATTTTACGAATTTGGAAATTGAACACGCAATTGTCATGTAACTCAATCCTTACACGAGGAAAATGTACTACACAAAAGGTATTTCATTGTTATAAATAGAATGTTCAAAACTGGTTAAATTTTGTTCAAGGTAAATAATAAATCAATATACTTATATATAATTGTTATCGAAAATAATTCCAATGAGAATTTCCCTTTGTCAATGAGAATGGCTTAAGTATTAAAAGTAGAAAATATTGGTTGGTTCGTAAGGAACTTTTCAAATTTTTTTCAGCCGTGGTTGCGGATTAAACGCTATCGGCCTCGGCAAAGGAACATGGGTTTTTTAGTCAGTAAGAGTCTGACACTCTCTCTCGCCTTACCCTGGGCGGGAGAAGTCATTTGATGATTTCCCCCTGACAAAAAAAGCCCTCAATAAAGATAGAGGAGTCGAAGGAAAAAAAGAATGAAAACACATGTGAATCAAAATATATTTGAACCTTTATTTTACTTATTCAAAAGCCAAGAAAATAATAGATCATCACTGGATAATTTTGTTTCTTAAACTCGTAGTAGTGGTGCCAAGTTGCTCTGGTAATAATAACACATTATGGCACTGGTAGATATTAGAAATTTGGACGTAGAGTGGCATATGTTTTAGAGGACATGATGTTTGTAATTATACGATCTAGGTTATAACTTAATCAAGGATTTTGTGGCAACAAATCACACGAACTTGTGCTTAGATGACAGTAATTTTTCATGACACATAAGTCCGGACGACAGTAAGCCAGTCATCAATAAACTATGTCAGTCTGTGTATCATAATTAATCTGGCTGTTGTGGTCCCTGTCGGAGAGGATTCGTAAACGGTTGGCGGGGATTACAGGGCTTCTGCAATGAATTACAATGTTCCGGTAGGGTTGCGACGGCATCTTGTCTCAGCAAATCCCAATATTGTTTGACACAGGTTTTTGAATAGTAACTATCGTAATTTACTAAAAGCAACGGCTTACTAACGCGAATTAACTGAAAAAAAGTTTAAAAGTTTGACTTGCAATGTTAATTATGTAAATCATTATCATCGCTTTCTAAATACTGTTATACAATATCATGTCAATTGTTACATGTTGTAATTGTTTTGAAAAGAAAAAGTATAAAACAAAGTCGCTTCCTCCGTCCCTTTACCCCTTTGTATGTTTTCATTTTTAAAACTAACTACACAACGGATTTTTATGCAGTTTTTAAAAGATAGACTGATTGAAGATGATGGTTTATATGTATAATATAATCCATTAAATAGTGAAGAAATTTAGTATCAGCATTGTGCCCGTGCGAAGTCGGGGCGGGTCGCTAGTTTTCATAAAATTCAAAAATAATTTCAGAGTGTAATCGTTGAAAGATATAAAGAGAAATAAAGAAGTTGCTATTACGAGTAAGACTGCCAGCAACTTTGTTACAATCGTAATGTTTATATAAAAGACTTATTTAAATTATCTAAATAGAATTATTTATTGAAAACGAGTAATTGATGTCGTAACTTTAAGCTTATTACGACATTTTAGCGATAAGACACGCTCATTGATGGCGTTTATTTATTTGTAAGTAAATGTATTATATTGAAATAAATAGTTATGTTCATATAATATTTTGTCTCGTACCGTAAACTAGCGTCGAACGTGTTCGCAATTACGATTGCTTGATTATATAGAAGGTTTGTTCTGTGAAACGCTCCTAAGCTTTTCCAAGAACAATCAAAGAAAATTCTAGAAATCGCCACCTTCCTCAGTAATAATGATGGATGGTTGTAATTTTCTTTTAGGCTTCCAAGTAGGAGAAAAAAGTAATTTTATTTCATTTCGTAATTTCTATTTGATATTAAATAAGTCAGTTTTGAAATAATAAGGAAAAAGTCCGTGGGACGCGTTAAAACAGTTATTTACAATCGTTATTACAGAGAGGACCTCGTTGCTGTTATTTTAATAAATCGCAGATCCTTTAAGTATCCTTTTAAGGAA